CTTCCCATGTCTGCAAGGAGTTGAGGATAGAAGCTGGGAAAAAAGACAGAGGTAGATCACTGTCATCTTGCATGATATTTTTTCTTTTTACCATTTGTTTCCAAAATCAAAATATCTGCCTATTTCTTCAGATACTAATTTCCTGGGGAAAATATCTTGTTCACATAGTCATTCACTTACAGGAATACAAAGAATACATATAATCTAACCAAGTGTCATAATTATAACCTTAGTCTTCAAATTATGCTGGCTGTCCAGTCTTTGCATCTGATTGACAAGCTATGTGAAGGAAGTCAAAATGTCTATCTCTGATATATTTAGTGTAAAGCAAGAAACTTTGTGTCTTTTATTGCAAGTTCCTTAATTTACTCACATAATCATCATTATGAACAACACATGTAATTCCCAGAGTGGGTCCATGAAAGTGACATTCTTATTAGACCGTTTTACAGATGGGACCTTGAGCCATGTGAGTGCCTTGCTCAGGGGTCCAGGTGATGGGAGTCTGGGACTCACGTCCACCACCTGCATAGAGGTGCCCCTGGCTAAATACTGCCTTGCCCTGGAAGTTACATTTAGTTGTGCAATCATTCTAAGGTTAATATCTTAAGAGCAGATTATTAATTTGTGGATTCTACATTATTTACTGGGTATCTCCAACTACAGACACCTTCTCTGACATGGAGCAGGCATGTCTTGTGAAAGATGGAATGAATGAACTTCTAAATAATTGAAGCAGAGATGAGGCTTATTTCTTCACTGTGATTACTCGAAAACGTCCATAAAAAATACTCATCTCCTTTCTTTCATCACTGACATGTGAAGAAGTCTGAACCTTCTTTGATATTTCCAAGTAGTTTTTAAATATAATTTTGTAAATATATATGTATATATATTTGTGTATATATATGTATATATAGGCATAATATAGATATCCAACAGCACAGTACTTCTTTAAACTTTTCATTCTATACCGGGCTGTAGCCAATTAACAATGTTGTGGCAGTTTCAGGTGGACAGCAGAGAAGCTTGGCCATGCATACACACGTATCCACTCTCCCCCAGAATCCCCTCCCATCCAGGCTGCCAAATAACATTGAACAGTCCCATGTGCTATACAGTAGGATCTTGTTGGCAGTATAATAATTTTTAAAAGCTTAAAATCAGAAGTAAGAACTCTCAACATTGTGTCAACTCTGAGTCACATGTAGTAGGTAGGTAGGTAAACGTGTATATAAAATTACACAAATAGGATCATGCTCTTCCAAGTAATTAGCGAGGCAAAATAGATATAATATTATAATGTAATATCATTAAAATAATTTAATGAAATAATTTTGCAAAACCTTATTAAATGGCCAAGTAGTGGTCATATTTCAATACTAGCAGATTGTTTTGCCTTGAGTTCTTATGGCATGTGCAAATTCTTTAATGGAAATCTATCACTACAGCCATAATAATATAATACAACCATTCCAATCTTCAGTAACTTGTCTGAAACTGGTTAGAAGTTATGTGAGTTACTAAAGATGTATCAAAATATACATGTTAAAGTAAAAAGGAATAACCTAGTATTCTTTGCAAACATCCAGATAGCATTAGTTCAGTTCAGTCACTCAGTCGTGTCCGACTCTTTGCGACCCCATGAATCGCAGCACGCCAGGCCTCCCTGTCCATCACCAACTCCCAGAGTCTACTCAAACTTATGTCCACCGAGTCAGTGATACCATTCAGCCATCTCATCCTCTGTCATCCCCTTCTCCTCCTGCCCCCAATCCCTCCCAGCATCAGGGTCTTTTCCAATGAGTCAACTCTTC